ACCCAGAGAAAGTATATAAACAGACATTGTTCATATTGCTGTGTTTCTTCTTAAATGTTGTGTAGCTTCACTCTTGTGTCCTTGCATTTATGAATCTGTCCCCCTTTTTCCTTCTTTCTTTCCCCACTTTTTTAAACATAGTAGACATGGCCAAGATGAGATATATGGAATCCCTTGTTTGCTTTTTAAAATAAATTAATTTCATTTGAGACCAGTGAAAGTATTAGGGCAACAGCAAATCATTTATAGTTGGCAGGCTATGGGAAACAGGTAAACCTCTGTCTATTCTGCTAAATTCTTTTTAAAAAAATATATATTTTATTGATTTTTCACAGAGAGGAAGGAAGAGGGATAGAGTGCTAGAAACGTCGATGAGAGAGAATTATCGACCAGCTGCCTCTTGCACACCCCCTACTGGGGATGTGCCCACAACCAAGGTACATGCCCTTGACCGGAATCGAACCTGAGACCTTTTAGTCTGCAGACTAAACCACTGAGCTAAACCGGTTTCGGCTCTGCTAAATTCTTAACTATGAAATGTTTTCTGCATTATCGTCACTTCTGTCCTCTCAGCTTTCATCATTCTCTATGAATCACATACCATTCTTCTCATTATATGGCCCCTTGCCTATATCCTCTTTGGGATTTCAAAAGGTTAGTGATCGCAGTCTACTTCTAACCAAAAAGGTTCAGGATTAAGTTTTCTTCTTTCTCAGAAGTGTTCTAGGAGCAATACATTCTTCAAACCCCTGTTCAGCCAACATGGAGACGGTTTGTTATGAATCTTATCTTTATTTGAGTGATAGAGTGATAGTGTGTCTGGGGCTTTATTCTATTGTATTTTGGTGTATAAAGGTTTTATAAGATTAGAATGTCTGGGGTTTATGTTTGTTTGCTTTGAACTGAACATTATCCTTAGTCATGCTCCATGAACTTTCTGTAAACTTAATCTTTATTGACTCTGCCACCCCAGAAAATAAAGAAAATAGGTAAAGCCAATACGAATAATTGGAAAAAAACTCCTGTGGGCTAGCACATGGCAGAATGAGTCAGCTGTTGCAACAGAGCATTACTGGTTGTGAATCTTTAGTGAATTTTCTTTTAATCTTATTTTTTTTGTCATAGAAAATATACATGCAATATCATAAGTAAAACTTATTTTCTAAATTAAAAATTATACACCCACATAATATAGCTGTGAGATAATAGAAAAAATATATATTAGTCTTTGCCCAGGTTCTTGGCACTGATCTTCTAAAACCATATCATTTCCTAAGTGACTAGATTCTAGGAGCATCTTTTGTCCTAGTATTTTTGTCTGTCTCTCACTCCTGTTCCTAACATGGAATTCCTAAGTCCCCTTGAATTTCCTGGGTAACAGCAATGTCCTTTTTGTATTGAAATGACTCTTGTTGGGCTTCTGGCTGGGGGCTGGTCACCAGAAAACCCAAGCAGTGATGAGCAGCTTAGAATTTTCAGCCCTGCCCCTCATTTTTCAGATAGGGAAGAGGGGCTGGAAATGGAACTAATAATTGGTTAACGTGATAAAGCCCCCATAAACATCCCAATAGCTTAGGGTTTAGGGAGCTTCCAGGTAGATGACCACTTGGAGGTGCAGGAGAGTGGTGTGCTCAGAGCTTGGAAGCTCTGTGTTCCTTCCCACAAACCTTGCCCTGTGCACCTCGTCCAGCTGGATGTTTATTTTACTCATTGTGGTATCCTGTCAGTAAACTGGTAAACAGTAAGTAAAGTGCTTCCAAATTAATTAGTGTCGTGTTCACACTTCTGTGTAAGTTTCATTTATTGAAACTGAGATTTTCCTATTTTGAAATCACTACTCTCTGTTGATTAGAAGAGAATATATTTGAATGTAACAAGTATGTAGGTATTGTGTATCTGTAAAACATGTTGACTATTAATTAGCCAGAAACTGTAATCTCCAGGTGGGCAGAGGACATGTCTCTTTATTTCCATTGCAGCCTTTAATGCCTCACACAATATATACAGCATGGGCAATAATAGGTTTACAGTTGTAATACAAGTAAATAATACAATAATTAAGAAATAATAATACAAGAATAAATTCTGTGTTCCACATACTCACAACTCTAAGCCTACTTTTGCCCTGTATTTGTCTACTGAATGAATTAGTCTAGTCTTTCAGAATATTTTCTCATCAACAATTTTCATCCCTTTAAGTCACAAATGATTGTCTTTAATAAAATAATAAATATGCTCATTATTCTTTCCTATGTGTAGACCTCAGCATCTGTTCAGAAAAGTGAGACCTATATACTAGTATATTGGCTTAAAAATGGGCCACACACCCTGGTTGGTGTGGCTCAGTTAGCTGGGCATTGTCCTGTGCATTGTGAGGTTGCTGGATGATTCCTGGTCAGGATACATGACCCCTTTGGAGCTCATTCCCTACTAAGGATGGGGTGTGCAGGAGGCAGCCAATTGATGTTCCATTCTCACATCAGTGTTTCTCTCTTCCCCCTTCCTCTCTCTCTAAAAATCAATAAATTATTCTTTTAAAAAATGATTTAAAAAATTGGGCCACACTGGATTTTTATTCCCAACATTTCATTATGAAAATTTTCATACAGAATATATTTACCACCTGGATTCTACACTTAACATTTTAACATATATGCTTTATCAAATATCTTTCCTATCAGTATTTATATTCCTTTATTTATACACTTGGGGAAGTTGCAGGCATTAGTATACTTACCCCCGAAACTTCAGACTTCATCTTCAACATTTATAAATAGAATGCTGTTGGAGTAAGACTATTTGAAATTATATGTGGTAATTTGGAACAGATGATTGTTGGAAAATTAAAGTCTTATCATCTTGCTTTCTTCTCTTTTTCAAAAAATTTATCTTTATTGTTGAAAATATTGCAGATGTCCTTTTTTCCCCACCGACCTCTTCTTCCCCTTGGGAGGTCAGATAAGAAAAGTGTAAACCAGCTGAGACCTGTATAATTCTTTATATTTCAAAAAAACTCATGTGCATTATCTAATTTGATATAGCATTATTATTATTAACAAGAGGCCCAATGCACGAAATTCATGCAAGGAGCTCTGCCCTCCCAGCCACGACAGCTTGCCTCGGCTTTGTCCAGAATGTCCTCTGGAAGGTCATTTGGCCACCTGGTCTAATTAGCATATTACACTTTTATTATAGAAGCTAGCTAACAGTTATTGAATGCTTACTTCATGCAAGGTATTGTGTTATGTTTACCTTTAACAAAAGTAGTGTGCTAAATTTTCTTCATCCCACTGATATTTTTCTTTTTTTTTTTAAATATATTTTATTGATTTTGTACAGAGAGGAAGGGAGAGAGATAGAGAATTAGAAACATTGATGAGAGAAAGTCATCGATCAGCTGCCTCTTGCACACCCCCTACTGGGGTTCTGCCCGCAGCCAAGGTACATGCCCTTGACCGGAATCGAACCCAGGACCCTTCAGTCCCCAAGCCGACGCTCTATCCATTGAGCCAAACCGGTCCCGGCCCCACTGATATTTTTCAAATGGATTGATTTATTTACTTAATAATATATTTATACCCTGTGGCATGCCTTTTAAATTCACAGTTATCTATATTTAGACTTAATTTGTTTGGTGTTTAAATGCTGAGAACAACAACATTTTCTTGAGTATTGTCTCTTTATAAGTTGCCATCTATATATATAAAGATATATATATATATAGCTCTGGGGGGTCATAACATCCACAATGACCGGAGGCTTGACCGAATGCCAGGCTGCATGCGCAGCAGCAAGCGGGCTGAACAGCTGACCTCTGAGAGAGAGAGAGAAAGAGAGAGAGAGAGGGGAGGGGGGGGTGCTGGGCTAATCAGCAGCAGCTGCTGGAAAGGGCCAGAGAGAAGCAGGGTGATCACACCTTGCTTCTCTCTCCTGGCCTCACCAGCAGCCAAGCCTCTCTCTCTCCCAGAGGTCAGCAGTTCAGCTCACTCGCCAGCAGCCTGTGGCGGCTGCTGATCAGTCCTGCCTCTATGATCAGACTCAGAGATAGGCCCGGAGATGCTGACTGGCATAGAAATTGACTGATCAGAACCAAATCTATGTGAATTGCAAGGAGCCAGTGGCTGCCTAGGAGGAGGGGCTTTGGACGCTGACTGGCATAGAAACCGACCATTCAGAACCAAATCTGGGTGAAGTGCAAAGAGCCATTGGCTGCCTAGGAGGTGGAGCTTTTGATGCTGACTGGCATAGAAACTGGCAAATCAGAACCTAATCTGGATGAATTGCAAAGGTCGAACCTAAGGTGGGGGCTGAGGAGGGGTTTTAAAGGAAGAGTGATGGAAAATGTTCATGTGTTCTTTGATTATCTCTTGTAAATTAGCCTCTAATATTCAAAATGGTGCATGACTTTAATAGCAAAATTGATTATATGAGGACCTGTAGCACTTACTGATTTCTCCTTGGATTATTATTATAATTCTATTAATAATAATGGTCATTAAAATAATAATGGTCACTATTTTTTGTATTTACTGTATGCCAGTATATTTATATTTGTATCATTATATGTTTAATTTATTAAAAATTGTGGCCCAGAGGGATTAAGGGGCTTGCTGTCCCTTAGGTCACATGGCTGGTAAATGGAAGAACCAGGATATGAAGGTTCAGCTCCACAGTCCCTGCATTGGGCCACTTACCCTAGTGTTTTGTGTAGCATGTATGGTCCTCAGACTACCTGCATCAGAATTTTCTGGGGTGCTTGCTAGAAATGCCAACGCCTGAGCCTCTCACCCTAGACCTGCTGAGTCTTTCTATGGACGAAGTATGTTTTTTAGTCATTCAGTTGAGTTTTATGTGCATCAGAGTTTGAGTGCACATAAATTCTCTAAGCATTGTCATGTTTTAATCTCCGTTAGCCTAGAAAGATAATCAGAATCAGTGAATTATTCTTCTCCTTGGAGTGCATCTTGTGGTTAATCTTTGTGCTTTTTCTTTACTTCAAGATCGTCATGGATTTTAAGCACCCAGATGGTGTCACAGTGCCAGTCATGTTGCCTCGCCGGAGTTTGCTGGTGATGACAGGAGAATCTAGATACCTTTGGACCCATGGGTACGTATTGAAATGATCTTGACCACAGATACCCTTTGCTTTATGAGAGTTCTCATTCTTTCCTATGAGCCACCAGAACCAGGCCCCAGGCCTGCACATTGAGTCCTCTGGGTTTAAAACCCCAGGGACATGTATCTCTTTTTATACTATTAACCTTTTCTTTGAAAAGAATTAAAATTTAAAGAAAATTGCAAGCCTAATACTGTGAACTATCTTCACCTTTCACCTAGATTTATCAAATGTGAACGTTTTGCCATGTGTTTGTCTCTCACATGTTCTCATTATTACTAGAGGCCCGGTGCACTAAATTCCTGCACAGGGTGGGGGTTGTCCCTCAGCCCAACCTGCACCCTCTCCAATCTGGGACCCCTCGAGGGATGTTCAACATCCCTATCACAATCCAAGACTATTGGGTCCCAACTGCTCACCTGTCTGCCTTCCTGATTGCCCCTAACCACTTCTGTCTGCCAGCCTGATCACCCCCTAATCACTCCCCTGCCAGCCTGATTGATGTCTAACTGCTCCCCTGCCAGCCTGTTTGCCCCAACTTCCCTTCTCTGCCAGCCTGGTCACCCCTAACTATTCTCCCTTGCAGGGTTGATCGCCTCTAACTGCCCTGCCTTGCAGGCTTGGTCCCTCTCAACTGCCCTCTCTTGCAGGCTGGTGCCTCCCAACTGCCCTCCTCTGCTGGCCATCTTGTGATGTCCCTCTTGTGTCCTCATGGGGGCAGGATCTTTAACCACATTAAATTATTTCTACTGTTGTTTTTAGAATAACACCAAGAAAATTTGATACTGTTCAAGCATCCAAGGGTCACAAAAGTGGAATTATCACTGGTGATGTTGGAGACCTAACATTAAGCAAGAGGGGAATACGGACATCATTTACATTCAGGAAAGTGAGGCAAACACCTTGTGACTGTAGTAAGTATATAATTTTGATTTTATTGTAAAATGGAATAAATCTAGTATGAAAATTTCTTAAAGTCCAAACAGAGCCGAGGAAAGCTTTGCTATAACCTTATTAAAGTTATTTCCAACATTTTGCCTACTATTTACATATACTTTTAAGTATAAAATATATTTATATATTTTTCTTGACCACCCTCATTAAAATGAGTTTATTAATATATTCTTTGAACATAGGGACTCCACCTAATTCATGTTTATTTTGTACAAATAGTACTTGAGCATAGTTGGATGCCAAATAAGTATTTTTTAATTGAAGTCACAGTTAAGCATGCTACAATTATGGCACATTAAAATACCATAAAATTAGGTTTTGTTGGAAACAGCTGTGATGCTTTTAAATTACTCCTCATCGATCCAAAGGGGAAATTGGATATGAGAAATTGGAGATAACTCTAGGAGGACAAACAGTGGTTTGTGTCAATTTGGAAATCTATTAAAGAATAAAAGAAATACTCAAAAAGCCCGGCCAGCGTGGCTCACTGGTTTAGCATCGACCTAGGAACCAGGAGGTCACAGTCCAATTCCTGGTCAAGGCACATGCCCAGGTTGCAGGTTCCATCCCCAGTGGGGAGTGTGCAGGAGGCAGCCAATCAGTGATTCTCATCATTGATGTTTCTATCTCTCTCTCCCTCTCCTTTCCTCTCTGAAATTAATGAAAACATATTTTTTTAAAGTACTCACAAACTTTGTCAATATGATGCTATTTTGAGTTGTCTTTACAAGTATGCCATGATCTATATTTCTTAGAGTCAATAGCGAAAAACCTTTTTCATTTTATAAATTATTTTTTAATGACAGTGATGTATAAGATCTTATTTATATCCTGTGGATTTTAATTATGGGAGTTATCTAGGAATTGCTTTTGGCTCTAGTCATAATCTTAAAAACATTTAAAATGAAAAACCTTTATTATAACTACAAGTTTCCTGTTAGAAAACTTGAAATGTCTACTCTGGCACTTGTTCTAAAGGAACTTGAAGTCTAGTTAAACATACAAGCTAGTTTTCTTATGCAAATGTTTCTTTGTTATGGCATTAATTCAATGTAAGGGATCCTATAAAAAGTTTTGATTATAGTTCACAGATTTTTTTTTTTTAAGTTCATGGCCATCTTTTGGATACTTTTGGTACAGATTTATAGATTTTTAAAGATAAGGGTCCCTATTCCCTTTCGACAACTTAGATCTTCATAATTTCCAAGAGATAAAATTTTACTAAGACCAATTTAGAATAATTATAATGTATATTTTAGAGTGATTGCAATTCTGATGTAAAACATAATGTAACTTATCTGTTTCCACATATATGTTTTGGAGTCCTCAAGCTTTCTGGGGCCACTATTTTCTTAAATGTCCAATTAAAATGTTTAGAACTTCACTTTACACCTTGGTAAGGACTACATGCTCCTTACCAATTCTACCCCCATTCTAGACTTTCTCAAAGTTTGGCATACGCTAGTTATATCAAAGGAAAATATCTGAATCCATCAGTGCTACAGGCCAATACTATTTCTAATTATTGTCTCAGTCTTGTTTGTGATTTCCCTAGGAGCACTACTCCTTTCACTCTCAAGAATACTATCCTTTAAAAGATGTGTGTCACAAACTTTGGCTGAAGACAAAGGAGAATTATAGCATAGTATAGAATGGGCAAAGATTTGAAATGAGTATTAGACTATTGTAGAGGACAGGTGACAACTTCAAAATTAATTTGAAACATTATATCCTAAATTTCCTCTGTCACATCCTCTACTTGGTTTTGCTCCTTCTATTGAAGAAGGCAACTCTGTTGGAGAAGTGTAGTCATTTAGAATATGGACTCTAGAGTCTCCACTGCCTGGGTTCAAATCCTGGCTCTATGACCTACCATCTTTGTCACTTTGGGATTATTATTTAACACTAGTCGCCTGTTGCAGGAAGATTCCTGCAATAGGGTTTCCCTCCCTTCTCCCCCAGCCCGCCTGCTTTCCTCCCTTCTTGCTGTTCTGCCTGCTTCTGTCCCTTCTCCCTGCCCTGCTTGCTTCCCTTCCTTCTCTGCCGCCTTACTTGCTTGCTTCTCCGCAGCTTCGTTCAGCACTTGGCTTCTTTCTATGCTGTCTTCAGTCTTTGTTCTGGCCTGGATATGCAAATTAATTGCCATCTTGGTTGGGTTAATTTACATACTTGCCCTGATTGGCTTGTGGGCATAGCAAAGGTGCAGTCAATTTGCATGTTTCTCTTTTATTAGGTAGGATTCTGTCCTTCAGCTTCTCATCTATAAAATGGGTGTAATAGTACCTATTTTATAGTGTAAGAATTGAAACGAGACATACAGTATATAAACTGCTTCAGATAGCGTTTATTAATTACTTGTGATTATTACCTAATGACATTCTAAAAGTTTTAGTGCCCCCAGAACTCCTATCACTTTCACCCTAAAACTTGTTAATGTAACTAAATATCTTCTGCTTAGGCCTGGCCCATCAAGATGCTTTCCTGAGTGAGGATCTTTAATCCAAAGGTGAAATAGGCATCATCATTTTAAGATGTACAGAATTGCAATCATGTCTTGTTGTAAATGGGTTTTCTTCCTTCTGTTTTCTAACTCATAAATCAGAGGCTTCTTATCCCTAGTCACCAAATTTGAACTGATTTGCTTTTTCCTTTTAGGAAAGCATAAGACCTTGTGAATTATTTGGATAAAAAGAAAAGATTTATATTACCTTGTTTTTTCATTAGGTTACCCTTTGGTCTGTGACAGCCAAATGAAGGAACCTCCTCCATCATTTCCAGAGAGTGATAAAGAAGCCTCACAGTTGGAGCAAAAATATGTCCATCAAGTGTATGAAGAGATCGCTGGGCACTTCAGCAGCACGAGACATACTCCTTGGCCACACATTGTGGAGTTTTTGAAAGCCTTGCCAAGCGGTTCCTTAGTGGCCGATGTTGGATGTGGAAATGGAAAGTATCTTGGCATAAATAAGGAGTTATATATGGCAAGTAATTGTTGCTTCTGGCTTTCTTTCCACTTTATTTGTAAGGATATTATCATCTTCTTCCCATGATACAATGATTTTTTTTTTTTAGGATGCAGAAAAATTATAACCAGTCCTCACAGAGAAGAGTATACATGAGTATTTGCAACAATGCTCTGGTGCAGGGAGAACTTCCTACTTCCTAGCACAGCAAAAAAAAAGGGGGGAGGGCGGGAAAGTGGTCCATAGAAAAGGAAATTACAGCTTCTGAAAACAGAAAACTCTGGCATCAGGCGAGATGTGGGTGCATATCTTGGGTCTAGCCCTGCAACCTTAGTCATGTATCCCCTCCTGTCTGCATGTATTCCTTCCTGTCTATTGTTCCTGGAGACTGCTTGTCTGTTTGTAGTTCTCATTTTTATTTTACCAGAAATTGAATTATTTATGACAAAAGGGAAGCTTGTTTGTTTGTTTTTAATCCTCACCTGAGGATATTTTTCCCATTGATTTTTAGAGAGTGGGAGAGAGAGAAGAGGGGATGGAGAAGAGGGGTGAGAGAGGGAGTGAGAGAAAGAGATCAATTGATTACCTCCTTCCACATGTTCTCCAATTGGGGATCGAACCTGCAACTGAGGTATGTGACCTTGTCCAGGGATTGAACCTGCCTAAGGGTGGACAATGACCACAAAACCAAATCAACCAGGGCGTGAAGCCTGCTTTTTTAAGCTGCTGAGGCTTCAACTTAGATGTTGCCATAATACCTGAGTATTTTGAACAGCCATCTTCAAAAGTGAAAATAGGTGTGTTTGATATTCAGTGGATGTAACCTGAGACAGTCATTCTGGGTATTCAAATGTAGGCTAATCATAGAATCGAAAAAATTACAAATTTACTTTACATATAATTTCTTTAACAATGCATTTTTAAAATATCAGGTTGGGCTTTCATGGCAATAGTTTTATGAACTGCTTTCCATTTCTGTAAAAAGTATATGTAGTGAATTTGTTCTTATCTGATCTCAGCCATGCCTGAGCTTACTTTTCTCTTTAATTCAAAATTTTTACATTCTAAGAACCATTTCTTTTTTAGACTTCTTCAGTTACTCTTCATTTCTATCTAATTAACTTTTGGCTTTATTTTCAGAAATAAATTTTATAAGCAAAGATTTTATACTTTCAAGGCACTTACTCCCTTTATAATAGCACCCATAATAGATGAGATGTCTGTAATTAGCCTCATTCTCTAATATTAAAAATTCTAGTTTAGCACTTCTTAGTTGGGATTCAGGAATCTGTCTTTTAACAACTCTACCAGGTGATTCTCATCATGAGAGAAGTTTGGGAAACACTGCATTCTAAGTGATTGTTCTGTGCATTGACCTCAAAACACATTTAGTCCAAATGTGTTTCTTAGGCAGTTACCTAATATGTGGTATGGACTTTCTCAGTTGCTGTAAATAGTTGAAATTACAAACATAATAATAATATCAGGAATCTATTTATAATTGTAAGAATTGGAGATGTGTTAATATTGTACATTTCTGTTGTGTGCATGTTTTAATTGTTGACTACCCCAGTAAAGGAAAAGACAGAAAGGAAGTTAAAAATGTCAAGTACCTGCTGTGTGCTAGTGCTGTGCTGCGTTTTCTCAGATAGTCCCTGAGGTTGGTGTTACTGCCTCCATTCTACAGGTAGGAAAACTGATGTTCAGGTTTGACATGCCCAAGGTTAAATGGTATCAGGGAAAATATTAGAAAATCGTCTCTGACTCCCAAGGCCATACTCCATGGCGCTGTGCCAAGGCAGACTCTGAAGGCTAGCTGTGGTGACAGAGAACACGCAGACTGTGACCTTAGATGACAGGAATCATGTCTGTTTTATTATCTGATCTCAGCAAATAATGGAAGCCTATTTGTTAATTGTTGAATGTAAGTTTATCTCCATTTTCTTACATGAAATCGCAATATGCACAGTGCTGTGCTCTGCGACCTTGAAGGAGATGTGACAACCGCAAATGGGTGGGCCTTCATTCAGAGTAAGGAACCATTGGGTTTGTGGATTTCTCTTCATATCTAGACTTCAGGATAATGGTTTGGGGCCACCCCTTCTTCCATATGCTAATAATAGCTAACATTTGCATAGCACTTTTATGGTTAGTGAAATATTATACATAATTTTTATTTGATTCTCATATTAACCCTGAGGAAAAAGGTATTTTTATGATGAGGAAAAAGAGGCTCTCAGATAATTAAGTAGCTTTCCTGTGTGGTTCAGCCATCTATTGCTAAAGCCAGAATTATCTTAGTATGCTCTTTTTATTGTACTTTACTGTCTTTACATATTTCTCTATACTTTAAACTATAGGCTACCAGTCTGATTTCCTATAGTTGCATATTTGTTAATAGTTTAAAAATATAACTTTTAAATAATAAAAATAATATAGCAACTATTCAGAAAATGAATGTGACAAAAAGGAAGAATATGAATTTTGAAGTGAGAAAGACTTAGGTTTAAATTCCTGCTTTACCACTTAATTACTGTTCAACTTGGAAAAAGTACTTAACTTCTTTAAGATGAAGTCTCCGCATCTGTAATATGGTGGTAATAAAACCTAACTCAAAGTGTGTTATGAGGATTAGTTCATTACTATAAAGAAACTACTTGAATACATATTGATATTCAGAAAAAGGCAATTATACTAGCCTGTTTAGCTTTCTCTTTATTTTGAATTGTTTGCTTAGGATAAATTTTTAGAAGAATAATTATTGAGTTGAAAGTTGTGAAGATTTTTTATCTTCCTTTAAAAATGGTTTGCCAAATTGCTTTTTAAAATTGGGTGAGCCAATTTGTATTGTTATGAACACTTTATGAGAGTAATTTTTATCACATTGTTGTCATTGTAGTGTACCTAGGTTTTAAATGTTTCTATACTTTTTTAGGAGAAAAATGGAAACTTTTTTAGTTTGCATCTTTGATTACTCAGTTAATTATCTTTTCACTAGAGGCCCAATGCATAAAATTCATGCACTAGGGGTTGGGGGTCCTTCAGCCCAGCCTGTGCTCTCTCGTAGTCCGAGACCCCCTCGCTCCTTACAGCTCGGCTCGCTGCTCCTTACCACTCAGCTTGCTGCTCCTTAGCACTGCCAGGGAGACAGGAGAGACTCCTGCCACCACCTCTGTGCTCTCCAGCCATGAGCCTGGCTTCTGGCTGAGTGGCGCTACCCCTGTGGGAGCTCCTGCGTTGAGTGTCTGTCCCCTGGTGGTCAGTGCGCATCATAGCGACAGATCATTCTGCTGTTTGGTCGATTTGCATATTAGGCTTTTATTAGATAGGATTTTTACCTGTATTTTCAGAATTACATGTCTATGTTTTACATAAATTATATAGGAATATAATTATCCATTTAAAGCCCATCGACTATGTGTTTTTATGTCATTGATCTCCATCCAACACACAGAAGTGTGAGTCTTTTTAAATCTGTAAATATTTGTAAATAAAACATTTTCGCCCTAGCCGGTTTGGTTCATTGGATAGAGTGTCAGCCTATGGACTAAAGGGTCCCAAGTTCAATTCTGGCCAAAGGCACATGCCCAGGTTGTGGGTTCGATCTCCCTTCACCCAGTAGGGGGCGTGCAGAAGGCAGCCAATCAATGATTCTCTCTCATCATTGATGTTTCTATCTCTCTGTTTCTCTCCCTTCCTCTCTGAAATCAATAAAAATATATATATTTTTTTAAATAAATAAATAAGTAAGACATTTTCTGTCCTGTAGTTGACATTATACAGTATTAGGGAGATTTAACACGTTAAGCGCCAAGCCTGTTTTCCGTTTAGCCCGCGATATCAAATTTCATCATTATGCTGGCAGCACCAATGACTGACGGAGTCTGGACAGAAAGTATAGTATCAGTCACCCGTGACTGACATGGCACTTAATGTGTTAAAGAACCTGGTATTGTCTGTCCTTGGTAAAACACACACACACACACATACACACACACACACACACACAAACAAACAAACAAAAAAACTTAGAGGAATCTAAAAACAGGGAAGATAAGAAAATAGTGATGCTTTAACTACTGTATATGGAAGACTCAGTTAAAATAAGTGGGAAATGGCCCTAGCCAATTTGGCTCAGTGGATAGAATGTTGGCCTACAGTCAGAATGGTGCTGGGTTCGACTTGGGTCAAGGGCACATGTCCAGGTTGTGGGCTCAATTCCTTGTAGGGGATGTGTAGAACCAATCAATGATTCTCTTTCATCATTCCTCTCTGAAATAAATAAAAATAAGTGGGAGATGAAAGCCCAGAGCCAGGCATGGCCAGGTCGTCAGTCAGTGGGACCTTCAGTAGACCTGGTGCTTTACAACTAAAATTGCCCCTGCTCTCCTGTTGACGAAAAGGGGTGAAGAGAAAGGACATTTTCTTTGATTTTATTTGGCTGCTGTTCTCCTAGTTCTGTTTTATCTGTTGTTCTCAATAGTAACTTTCCTCCTTTGAGGTACTATGCAGCTCTATCCTTGGGGACTTGTTTTATAGGCAAGTTGGATTTCTTCCTGTTTGATTTTTAGCAAAATACAGCCATCTGTCAGAATTGGACATTCTTGAAACTTCTATTCCCATGAACTGAATTTTATTGTCATAAAAGCTAGCAGGCATCAAAATCTAATGTACATGTTATAATACTTGAGTAGTACTGTTATCTTGGTGATGTGACTATTGGCTCAGTGGTACAAAATATGGATGGAAGTAAAATAAATAAGTCAGTTATATACCTTACACTGATAAAGGGAGCAATTAGTTGGGAATCATGCCACTGTTGTCATTAATGGGCCCTTAGTACTTTTTCATCCTAAAACATCAAAGGGAAATTGCTCTACTTTAGCTTGGTACCTGGTATTATACCTCAGAAACGAATGCAGCTCTGGGTTAGTAGCTGTTTAATGCCATTTAGATATTGAGCATATTCAAATTAAGTATGACTCTCATGGCAGTGTGATTTAATTCAGTAAGAATTGCTTTGACATGAAGACTCATATTCTTTATTCTGTGAAGGATTGAGGGAACCCGAATACTACATTACAAATTCAAGTGAAGAACTAGAAGCTTGAGGTGGCTACTTCTGTTTTCTCTAATGTAGAGGTTCAGAAGAAATATTTGGGCATAATTATTAATTAGTGTTTTAAAATTTTTTAAATCCTCCCATTCTTTCCTCAGTTTACATGTGCTCAGGCATTCTCCCCCCACCTCCACTCCCTCTCCCTCTCACCTCCACACACCACACCAGCACACACAGGATTGTTAGTACTAAACAGTAAAGTTCTGTCCAACAATAACAAAAATAGAGAGAAAATAGTCAGTCATAACCCCCAAACACTTCCCATAAAACATACACTAAGTATGTTAGACCTCACCTGCTGGGGAAGATGAAAGGATGCTGCTAGATGCTGCTAGCTGCCTTCAGTGTTGTCATTCCCAAGGAATGGTCTGGTTATACTGAATGGTTTAATTAAATATTTCATAAATTTTTAATTCAGCACTTCATTCTTATATAATATATAGACTAGTGGCCCAGAGCACAAAATTCATGCATGTGTATATTCATGCCCAGCCTGTACCCTCTCCAATCAGAAATCCTTCTTGCAATCTGGGACCACTGGCTCCTAACCACTCACCTGCCTGTCTGTCTGATTGCCCCTAACTGCCTCTGCCTGGTTCCTAATTGCCCCTGACTGCTCTCCCTTGCTGGCCTGATCTCACCCCCAACTGCTCTCCCCTTCCAGTCTGATCGCCCCTAGCTGTCTGTACCTGCCTGATCACCCCTAACTGCCCACCCCTGCCAGCCAATTTGGTTCTGATTAGTCAGTTTCTATGCCAGTCAGTGTGAAAAGCTTTGCCTCCTAGGCAGTCATTGGCTTCTCACAGTTCACTCGGATTTAGGTCTGATTGGTCGTGCTTCTCTGGGCCTCTCTCTGGGCCTAATATTTGGGGATTTTATTTTCTGATTGCATGAGTATAAAGCAGGAAAAAAATCAGCTACTTTTCTACTCTGGACCATCATAATTTATTAGTAATGACAGATATCTTAGATCTTATTTGTAGCTCCCTCAAAGGACTGAATGTCTATGTTTATGGGATAGTTTTCATTTTTAAGTGTATGATATTATAAAGAGATCTAGATTCTGAACAGTGATCACTTAGGGCCTCACATACTCCACTGCTGTCATTTTTATTCTAGTCATTTGTTTACATTCACTAATTTAAGTTCTATTTGATACTTGTTAAGGTAATAAATGCTGTCCAGTGAATTATATATTCTTACTTTGTACTGATTGTAAAAATTGATAATGTCATACTCTTAGACCATTTCACCATATGAAATCTGTCTCATAACTTTATGGTAAGCAGTAAATCCATTGCTCTTAATTTTTCATGCCATTTAAGTAAGGTGTTGTGACTTTCTCTATTATAGATTGGCTGTGATCGTAGCCAAAATCTTGTGGACATTTGTCGAGAGAAGCAGTTTCAGGCCTTTGTCTGTGATGCATTGTCAGTGCCAGTCCGCAGTGGGTCCTGTGATGCCTGCATCTCCATTGCTGTTATTCACCATTTTGCAACAGCAGTAAGTACTGTCTCTCTCTCCCAGAACTTGTAACTAAAGTGGCAGGAAATGTTCATAGATTTTACTGGTTGGAACTCGTATTAGCTTTTCTTTTCTTCCCATTCTCTTGTCACATTTGCACCACTTGTTAAGAGAGCATTTGGAAGGGAGATGAGTTACATGGAAGTTGTACTTAGTTAAACAGAAGCCTACTGGACTGTATGTTGTTATTGCTGCAAGTTTCTGCCTTTTTCCTACTCGAATCTTACTCATCTTTAAATTTTTTTCACCATCTGATTATTTTTAATGTCCAACTTTGTATATGAGAGCCAGCACTTTGTCCTAGGCTCAAGTTTGTAAATTCTCAATTGGCTTGGGATGCCAGTTGGGATGCCTCTTCTTGTCCAGTTTTCAAATCCTCAGTGGTCATCTGATCAAATGGAATTATGTTCTTCATCTTCTCCAGCTCTTTCCCATATTGCTCAATCCTGGCCATTAAGAGAGACCAAAACTCAACACAACTTTTCACATCTCTTTCTTCATCACCCACCAGGATACTATATCCTCTGGCATAGGAACCTTCAGGGCATGGAGCTTTTCAAAGTCACCTACCAAGCCAGCCTTCGCTACCTTGGCCTTGTAGCAAGTGCTAGCAGGTAGATTCTCAGGTAGAGTGACCAACCTGGAGGTGAAGGTCTCATTTCAGGAGTTCAAGGAGTTAGCAGTGGCCTTCATTTTTGGGATATGTTTTTCCCCAGAAGCTACCCAGTCATTGTCCTTTAGAGCAAGTTTTTGCCCAGCCATCCTAAGACCCTTGAGACCCCAGCGGCCTCAGTCCACAGCAGCCTGCTCATCTTTAAAGTTTAGCTGTAAGATTTTAAGAAAACTCTTGATAGACTTTCTCCTCACCTCTGAGCCTCCTTTTTATTTCTGTTTCCATTTTTCTTTCTTAACTCTCACTGATCCCTGGCATCAGAATCTCACTTCCTTCCCATTCTATTTTTTCCCCTATTCTTTGTTCAAAAATAAGGTACTTGCCCTAACTGGTTTGGCTCAGTGGATAGAGTGTCAGCCTGCAGATTGAAAGGACCCAGGTTCGCTTTTGTTCATGGGCACTTGCCCAAGTTGCAGGCTCGATCCTTAGTAGGGGGCATGCAGGAGGTAGCCGATCAATGATTCTCTCTCACCATTGATGTTTCTGTCTCTCTCCCTCTCCCTTCTTCTCTGAAACCAACAAAAAATATATATATGTAAAAAGTAAGGTACGTAACTTGTAGTAGTATGTCACGCCTTTAATTAGTCACATATTTCTAATTTAAAAATAAGCGAATTTTATATTTTTTATAGGAAAAAAATCCCCTTTTTTGGGTGTCAGTGATTTCTCCCTTGATCTTAGCAGTAACTCTATAGATCACCCTGCACTAGAGTCTCCAGCAATTTTAGTTAGTATACCTTATAACTTTAGCTGAATTCAAAACAAAACAAAATGGAAAACGCTCTATGCCTCTATTTTATTAACAGAAATAAAAAATTTCCTTTTCCTTCTTCAACACTATTTTTTAACCACTCAATGACAGAATAAAATTCCCCTTCTTTTTTTTCCCCCTTTCTTGTTTTATAGAAGATACTTTGTTAGGTTTTCTGGGCCATTTATCTTAATTGAGAGCAGTCCTACAGTCAGTTATATTTTTGTTTTCTCTCAGTCTCCTCCTGGTTGATAAATGGCAACACTTTTTTTGTTTTGTTTTGTTTTTTAATTAGGAGCGCAGAATGGCAGCTCTTCAAGAAATTGCCCGACTCTTGAGACCCGGTGGGAAGGCACTCATTTATGTGTGGGCGATGGAACAAGAGTATCAGAAGAAGAAGTCCAAGTATCTCAGAGAAAACAAATCTAATCAAGGAAGGCAAGAGATCAGCAGTGACCCATCAGCACAGGAGCTGTTTGTGGAGCCAGTGCCTGACATGGGCCACCAAGATTCAGCATGTTCCGTCCCCTCTGTTAATGACTTTCAGAAAGGAAGATGTCATTCGAGGGAAGTTGGTAATTCCACGCTGCCTATTCACACTAATAGGACTTCTTTCCATTCTCAAGACTTACTGGTTCCCTGGCACCTTAAGGGAAATACAAGTAAAGAAAAACCTACGGAGCCATTTGGGCCTGTGCTTCATCGTTACTATCATGTGTTCTGTGAGGGAGAATTGGAAGCTGCCTGCCAGACTTTGAATAATGTCAGCATTCTGCAAAGCTACTATGACCAGGGGAACTGGTGTGTGATTCTTCAAAAGGTCTGATTATCTGAATGAACATACCTTAATCAGGAAAGAAACACTCAGTTTTTTTCTTAAAAAGCAAGTCTAAATTAGCAGTCTTTTTTCCTCTGTTGCTGTTGTTAACCCTCACCCGAGGATATTTTTCTTTTGATTTTTAGGGAGATTGGAAGAGAGAGGAAAAGAAAGAGAAACATTGATGTGAGAGAAACATATCAGTTGGTTGCCTCCTGCATGTGCCCCCACCAGGGCCCAGCTGGGGAGGAGCCTGCAGACAAGGTTCGGGTCCTTGACCCTTTGGTCCACAGCTGATGCTCTCTCCACTGAGCTAAACCAGCTAGGGCAGCAGTCTTAATTAAAGAGAAAACTTGTGGTCAAGTACCAAAGAAGTGCACCTGAGAGAAATTTGAAAGTAGAGATTAATTAGAAAACATTTAGTCTACTGCTATTGCTGACCTTGTTTTATCCATAAACGTAGACTTCTCCTATAGGGAAGAACAGGGATGGGTTTTTTTATAAAGTAATTGTAGTTTGTGAAGTATTTGGGATGCTGGGATAAGTGTATAGCATTTTAAAGATAAACTTTTGTTATAAAGTGTTACTATAATAAATGAATTAAATTATGCATAATTACATAGAAGAAATCATACACTTTAATAAAGAAAATTTCTGTTTAGTAGAAAGTTATCTGAAATTTTATGTGATTTTTTTAGCTCCATACAGTCATGGACAATAACTACTCTGCCATCACTCTTGACTAGCATAGGGCTTGACACATAGTAGGTGCTCAGTTAGTCACTCAGATGATACCCATGCATTTGTAGGAGCTTCACCCAACAAATACTTGCTGAGCCTCTACCGTGCAGCAGTTACTGTTGTAAGTACTGGAAGGGGAGCTGTGGACAGACAACAAAAAACATTAGCCTTTTATTATATAGGGTTTTTATTGATTTCAGAGAGGAAGGGAGAGGGGAAAGAGAGACATCCATGATGAGAGAGAATCATTGATTGGCTGCCTCCTGCAGACCCCTTACTGGGGATGGAGCCTGCAAGCTAGGGCTATAATGTGCACTGACCACCAGAGGGCAGACACTCAATGCAGGAGCTGCCTCCTGGTGGTCAGTGCCCTCCCACAGGGGGAGTGCTGGTCAGCCAGAAGCTGGGCTCACAGCTGGTGAGCTCGCTCAGTGGCTATGGCGGGAGATTCTTCCTCCTCTGCAGCAGTCAGACACCCACCAAGGGCTCCCATACTGTGAGAGGGTGCAGATTGGGCTGAAGGATCCCCTTTTCCCCCAAGTGCACAAATTTCATGCACTGGGCCTCAAGTAGTAACACATTTGTTGAATAACATCTGTTTAGTGCTTAGATAGCCACTAGTTAGCTACTGAATTATTAGGTAAGCACTCAAGATACATTAGCTGTTTTTTATTTGGTGTAAACATCACAACTATGCATTAAAATATATTTTAAGCACTTAAATTATTTTTATGTAATAAAAATACTTAAATTATTTTTATGTAATAAAAATGAAAATAATTTAAGTGCTTAAAATATATTTTAATGCATAGCTCAGCGCTGTACATAGGAACACATTACCATGGGCATGGTGTTGCCAGAGCATTCACGCTGCTTAAAAAGGAAGACATGTCGTAAACACCTCTGGTAGTCCTTAGCATGTTTGGCTCTTATTATATAGGATTTTCTCTGTAAGCCGTTTTTCATTCATTTGTAAACCTATGATTTCATCATTCTTTCAAAAAGGGGAGTGTTGCTACACTGCTGAAGGTAGTAATTTCATGGATCCTCTTTTATTTTTTTTCCAGTTCTTTTTATTGATTAAGGTATTACCTATGTGTCCATATTCCCCCGTTGCCCCCACCCCCACCCCACTCCCATATATGCACTAGACATCTCGTTAGTTCTCCGGAAAGTCGGCTCGTCATATTTCCACAGCTTCGGGATGCTTCTAGATTAATTAACTCCTGTTCACAAAGCCGAACACAAAGTCTCCGTATCTAAGCCAGTGTTCCACGTTCTTAAAACATGGAGCAGAATGTCCATGGTCTTCCTCACTGCACTCAGATTCCCCACAGCCACGACTGGGTTAGGTGTGGTTTAACTCCTTGGGCAAATAACTCATCCCCTGGTATACCTGACTTGTAGCTGGATTAACTACCAATATACATTTCCAACTCGTTTTACTTTTTCATAGATTACTCTAGCTAAATACTGTATTATTTGAGAAGCTTAAAATATTTAATTACTTAGCTCTTTAAGTAACCAGGAGCAAGCCAGATTTTGAAGTCTTGATCTGTGCTTGAGTAAAAAGCTCAGTTCTTTCACACAGAAACTGTGGTTTACGTAGCAAGCAGCAACCTCTCAAGGACTCATAGAAGGCACGACTTCATAACTAGATATTCAAAAATCTTCCCGGCTTCTCCAGCTCTTATAATTATCCCCTGGCCTGAAGTCCATTCCACATACAGCCTGCACCTCAGAATTTATCACGGTGAATGATCTGCTTCATGCAGTGCACAATTATTTCTTGCATTTGAGGTCAAGTCCTGCTGATTACTGCTTCTAAACATCTCACGCATTGATTTCTTCACCCCTGTCTTAAGCCTCACCTCTGATTTTCTTTTTTTCTTTGAAATCTTTATTGTTCAAAATATTACATATATCCCCCTTCTACTCCCATTGACCCCTTCTAGCCCACCCTCACCCGCTGCCCCAGACCTTCACCACCTTAGTGTCTGTGTTCAGGGTTATGCATTCATGCATACAAGTTATTTAGTTCATCTCTTCCCACCCACATATTCCCTCTGATTTTCTGCACTGCTACCAAAATGAGTTTCATGAAACTTGCAAATTGGTCTCCTTAACTAAATTTCATCAGTGACTTTCAGCAATGAAATCCAAACTCCTGTTCATAGAAGTGTGAACTCTTTCAAACTGTTGTCTGCCAGTTCTCTCTTCTCAAATCTCTCTGCTCCCACCTCACACCCAGGGCACCATTCATACCAGATTATTTGCTCCTTCCCATGCATGCGTCACATTTTTCTCTTTATTGATCTGTAACCACCTAACTTAAAAAGATAATTTTTTTAGTACTCAGAAATTGGAGGCTTACTGGTATCCTCCCCCATCCCCTTTCTCTGTCCCTTCCTTCTAACAGATTAAAAATGTTTGGCACCTTTTAGTTGTTTCAAATGCTTCAGATAACTATACTTCAGAAAACAATGATAAATTTTAAAATTAAAGGTGAATTTTAAGAGCATTAGTTGATTTTCTTAATTATAAAAACGTACTAAGCTTTTCTTGAAAGGGCAGGGTATTCATGATTCTGAGTTCCATCCATTGTCTTTGTAGTATTCAATGAACAATTTATCACAGTAGGGATAAAAAGTGATTTCAGAAGCATTCCTGAATCTTAAACAACTCAGAAAACTTGTTTGCTTAACTGCCTTTGACGATCTATACTAATAATAGAGGAACATGCAAATTGTCCAGGACGTCATCACAGTAATAGTAAAGACTGAACAGCAGGCTGCATGGGGCTACTAGGCCGGCAGCGGGGTTAGTGAGGGATGACCAAATGACTGAACAGAAGGCTGCATGGGGCAGCCAGACCAGCAAGGTGGGTGGGAGGCAGTTGAGGGCGACTAGGCCAGTAGGGAAGGCAGTTGGGGGTGACAAGGCCAGCAAAGGGGAGGGGGGGAAGTTAGGGGCAATCAGGTAGGCAGGCAGGTGAGTAGTTAGGAGCCAGCAGTCCCGGATTGTGAGAGAGATGTCCAAGGGGTCCCTGATTGGAGAGGGTGCAGGCTGTGCTGAGGGCCATCCCCATGCATGAATTTTGTGCATCAGGCCTCTAGTGAAATGATAAGAAACTAAAGTGGTTGGGTAGCAATGGGAAGGAAAAGAAAGGAATGGTTATGAAAATTCTCTGAAAGAAGTCCAGATATTTGAAAGAGATGTTAGGTGCCTAGAAAGATAAATGCAGTGTTAGTTACTCCACAGTTTGAGGTGCCACCCTCCCTTCTTCATTTCCACCTGTATCTCTTCTTTTTTGGGTCAGATAGAGAAATGAATTTTATTGCTCCATGGGAAAGTAACCAGTTTTGTATCTAACTTAGCAATCTTTTTTTTTTTTTTCTCTTTTTTTGTTTTTATTTTTTTTTAATTAATTTATTTATTTTACATATTTTATTGATTTTTTTTTTGCCCCCCTCCTTCCCTCCCACGTATCCCCTCCCTCCCCAGAGTTTTATGTCCATTGGTTGTACTTATATGCATGTATACAAGTCCTTGGGTTGATTTATTGTCTCCCCCAGACCCTCCTCCCCTCCCCGTTGTAATTTGACAATCTGCTTGTTGCTTTACTATCTCTATATCTATCTTTTGGTTCATCAGTTTATAATGATCTTTATTATCCACAAATGAGTGGGGTCATGTGGTGTTTCTCTTTCATTGATTGGCTTATTTCACTCAGCATGATGTTCTCCAATTCCATCCAGGTTGCTGCAAATGATGAGAATTCCTTCTTTTTTATGGCAGCATAGTATTCCATTGTGTAGATGTACCAAAGTTTTTGGATCCAATCATTAGCTGACGGGCACCTAGGCTGTTTCCAGATTCTGGCTATTGTAGATTGTGCTGCTATGAACATAGGGTTGCATATATCCTTTCTGATTGGTGTTTCTAGTTTCTTGGGATATATTCCTAGAAGTGGGATTACTGGGTCAAATGGGAGTTCCATTCTCAGTTTTTTGAGGAAACTCCACACTGTTCTCCACAGTGGTTGCACCAGTCTGCATTCCCACCAGCAGTGCACGAGGGTTCCTTTTTCTCCGCAACCTCGCCAACACTTGTCGTTTGTTGATTTGTTGATGTTGGCCATTCTGACAGGTGTGAGATGGTACCGCATTGTTGTTTTGATTTGCATCTCTCGGATAATTAGTGACTTTGAGCATGTTTTCATGTGCTTTTTGGCCTTCTTTCTGTCTTCTTTTGTAAATATTCTATTT